GAGCCGCACGGGGCCGGGGTTGACCTTGGCTCCCGCCGCTGGGCGCCGGCCCCGCGGAGGGGGCTGTTTGGGGTGCAACAGTTTAACTTTGGTTTTGTCTCGGGGGGCTAAATTTAAACCAACAGCCCCGTGGCCCCCAAGGGGTCGCGCGGGGGGTGGCCGCTGCAGCCCTCTTGGCACCTCGGGAGTAACAGGCTGCAAAATCGCTCGTCTTTGGGGCGACTCTTTGAGCTGCAGCTCCCTCCCCTCAGTCGCTGCTGCGAGAGGAGGTGCCGCAGTTTGCGCCCGCGTCTCAAACTCCGCAAACAGCCTCGGAGCTCGGCCCCGTCCTGGCTCTCCTGCCTGGGAGCCGAAGGCTGAAGGACCCGGGAGCAGGTAGGACTTGGCAGGGTCCGTCCTGAGGCCCTGGGACTCTCTGGCCCCTGAGAATCTGGCACTGACAGAACTCGCTCTCTGGAATGAGACCGAGCTCCTCTTTTTGTGGAAAAAGACCAAACTTCACTTATTTTCTCCCTGCCTTTCCTGGCAGGAGCTTCTCTCTGTTACCCACTGCCATCATATGAGGGGACCACAGGCATCTCTTGCCTTGGGAATGCTGTTCCCAAATAAAAACTTTCCCAAACTTATACAGAAAAGCTGTCTCTTAAAGTTTTTTACTTTCATGCCTGTCTTTCTGCCCCCGGGCTTTAGTTTAGTAGTTTCTAGTTCAGTGTAGTCTGCTTTGCGCAGACCCACTGCTATTCCAAGCATCCTAAACCACTTCTTCGTTCTTCCCAACTCCTGTCATTGTGCTCCTAAATACAGGGTAGTGTGCCAGCGGGAGCAGCTCGGGAGTAAACCCGCGTGCGGGGAGCTTTCCTCGGAGAGACACCCGGCAAAACCTGCCCGACTGCAAGTTGGAGCCTTTGCTCCCACCAGGAATTTGTGCTTCTTGGGAGCTGGCACAAACTCTTGCCTAATTAGGATATATATTTATTTAGAGTCATATTAGCTTCCAAGCGTCCCTTGCTTTAAGCACTGTCCAAAACAAGTGGGTTCTGTGTTTTTTGGGGTTTTTTTTGGTATGGCTTTTGTTAACCCAGGGCACTTAACTACTCTTAGAAATGCCCGGGACTCATTACAAGGTCAGAGGGGAGCCCAGAGTTTGTTTTAGGCAAAAATAAGCAGTATTTTTGCCCCAACAGTTGGGTTTTGTGTAGATTTATATCAGGACTTCTCTGCTTCCCAAGGCTTAATGTAGCTTGTTGCTTCTGAGCCAGTTTCTTTGCTATTCTGGTAGTGACACCACGGAGCTGCTGCTCCTTGAGCTCCAAATACTTCAGTGGTGACCTGGGTGAAATACAAATAAACCAGCGGTGGGATCGACCTGGCGTATCGGGGATCTTGGTATGCCGAAAATGTTTGTTTTCAGCATGTTTGTGCAGTCTGAAGGGCTCTGCACCTTAAGCCCAATTTGCAGGGGACTGTGGCGACATTTAAGCCGTGGAAGATCAACCCCAGGAATTTGTGCTTCGAGGGCTTGTGCCATGACATGGAGCGAGTTTCCAGCAGACTATTAAAGTGCTGCTGGAAAAGAAGTTAGTGCCTGAACCTACCTGAATAAGCTCTGTGGACGCACTTTCCATTCTAATATGTTTTTCTGTATGTCACTCTTTGCATTTATCGTTTGGCTGAAGCTGTCTCTGCTCTCCTAGAAGAAAACTTCCCCCTGCTAGTGGGACACGTAGGAAGCCGATGAGAAGGACACGGCGCAAGGGGAGCGGCGGGAGCGCGTGGCCTCGTTCCGGGTGAGGAAAAGGGGGCCTCCTTTACCTCTTGGCAGTGACCTGCTCGGATGGGCAGCGACCTGCTTGGCTGGGCTTCTTGCGGCTTGGAAGCACAGGCTGGATTCAGGCTGAAGCTTCTTGTCCGGTGGCATCTTCTGCATGAGTTAAGACGGGCACAAATGGTGCAACACACCCCAGGAAGGAGCCGTGGTCCTGCTCCAGGTCGCATCGGCCTCTCCCAGGCCAGCCTTGATGCCTGCTGGGAGGTTGCCTGGAGTCTCTGCCGATGGCTCTTCCACGTCCGGGACAGCATCTCGGAGCAGCGCGTTGAGGTCTGGGAGAGGAAGGGGCTGCGGGGCTTCCGTGTGGCCCCACGGTTCCCCTTCGTGGCCTTTTTGTGTGTCCATCTTGGCATGAGATTGTCCCCTTTTCCCCCTCCTCCTCAGGTTCCCTCGGCTTAGCAAGTTGGTCGGGAGGGGAATCGGAGCAAGCCCTTCTCTCCGCAGCGTGGTCTCCTGAGGTTGTTTTATCAGCTACAACAGATATTTCTTCATCAAAGTTGAGTATCTCCCTGGTTTTGCTGGCCAGCAGAGCCCATACAGGGCTGGAGGGTGATTCTTGATGGGATTCCAAGTTCACAGGCTCCAGCAGCTCTTCACACAATGAGGGTTTCCTTCGAGTTCCCGTTTTCTCCCTCTCCTCCTGCGGCCTCACCGCAGCGCTTCGGGAGGCAGGTTCCAAAACACTTCTCAAGTTGCCTGTCTGACCCTCTCGTGAATCGAGGCCCTCTCGGCACGCGGAGCAGAATGTCCAGCCGCTGCGCGCGAGCCGTAACGGTGGCCCAGGTTCGCATGTGGGCCACATGTTCTGATAGATTTGCTGAGAAGGCCTCAATTCATAAGAGGGTCAGATGGACAACTTGAGAAATATTTTGGATTCCAGCTCCTCGCAACTCTCCATAAATTGGCTCAGAAGCTCCTTTGTGAAATACTTGACTTTGGAAATACTACTCATTAAGGACCTGACAAGCGACATTCCTCCGCTCCTTCCTCGAGCGTTGAAAAAGTGATTACAGGAGAGATTTTGGTATATTCCCTTAATGTAATTTTAGGTTTGTTAGTGTTGAGTGCTCATAGGTTATGAATTCCCACTGGGAATTTTTGGGCACTTTTTTGGCAAGTTCAGTTATACGTTTGGGCTTCAGAGAGCTTAATTTCTGTGACATGTTCCTCATGGGTGGGGATTGGCATTCGGCAGATAACTGCTGCTCGCTTGATCCCAACCCTGGGGGCTGGTTTGGGATGGACTTGAAAGTAAGGAAAGGTTGAGCTGTGGTTTGACCCAACAGTGTTCCACCTTAGCATGGAAAAATCCTGTTGAATCAAGGCAGGTGACGTCCCCAAACTGATTCCCTAAAACAACCCCCCCGTGCTGTCCTGCAGCCAAGATGTTCCCGCTGGCTTCTAGCTCCCTGTGTCCTCTACAGCAAGGAGGGTTTCCACCAGATCTTCTCCAGACATTGCAGAAGTTGAGCTGGAATGTGAGGTATTTTTCCGGTTATCTTTGTTATTCCTTATCGGGAAGGTCTTGCACAGGTGGCAACTGCTAGGGGTGTATCGAGAGCCGGGAGGCAGCAAGGCAACGTAACTGTGTGCAGATAGTGAGCACTTGGGAGTGATGCCTTTTCTTTCCCTCTAAGAAAAAGATCTTCCTTCCAAGATCTGCTCCCTCAGAGGATAAATACTTGGCTTTTTTTTCTCCCCAAGATAAGGGGTTCTTTTAATAAGATGCTCTTGCCGTAAACTCACAGCTCTGGAGCTCGGTGCTAGTGGGAGAGCTGACGCTGTGATGATTTTGATATCGGGTTTGTAGTGATAAGAATATTCCGAGTTGAGAGGATTTGGTCCCTGTGTGTATCTGTCCCTTAGACTTCCCAATCAGGCCTCGACATCTGTTGAGTGCCCGAGTCCTCTGTGCTGTAGGAGTTGCTGGATTCCCGCGTGAAAGAACATGCACAGTGTTTTCCCATCCTGAAGAAGATATTTGCACTGGAATTTATTTAGCAGTGTCTGGGAGGCCTGCATTGGAGGATAAAATGTTATTCTGAAGTCTTCTCTGGATTGAACTGCAGAATCCCATCAGGAAGGGACAGCAGTGTTCAGAAAACAAAGCACTTCCCTTAGGAGGGGAAAAATGGGAACCTCTGATAGATTTTTGCTGTCCAGGGAAAAGTTATTGGTCTCTTCTCAGCAATCTGTGTTGCCCAGAGTCTAGAAATCAGGCAGGGAGAGTCTCCTCTGCACACTGCAGCTCTGCCCCTCCATCCCGATGCTGATCGTGTGCAGGCTTGGGGCTGCACTGCCTCCAAGGGGCATCTTCCTCCTGCACCTTTCCCCCAGCTCCCAAATCTCTCGCATATCCCTCTGCCCAGATCTTTTTGGAGCAGCAATTTGATATAAAGGTCTGTACCATAGTGCTGGATGGCTGCACAGGATCAATTTGATTCCTCTCCGAGCAAACAGTTCAGCAAAAACGCCCACCTTCCCGTGCTGTGTGTGTGGAGGGCAGAGCCACCACGGGCTTGGTGGGAGCCCCTGTTTTATGTTCCACAGCAGCTCGTTATCTCACAGGAAACAGTTTACCACATCTTTGAATAAAACTTTGTCAGGTTTTGGCCTTTAGAGAGCTAAGAAGTTTGTGTAAAAATAAGAAGAATAAACAGGTGAAGACTAAATATGAATCCCCCCCCAGAAATGTACAGGGGAAACCAAAGCAGAGTGTAACTGCCTGCAGCCTTCATCTGGGTTAGTTATGTGTTTGTAAGGAAAGTGTAATAATTGGCACCCTTGCAACCTTATAAAAACTTTGCAATCAAAGGTAGCTCGAAAAGGGATTAATTTGTTACTGGCAAAGGTGTAATATTGTTTCTAGTGGACTCAAGCTTTTGAGAAGTCATCGGGGCTCCAGAATGTTGTAATGGGGATGGGCTGGTGTGAAAAGTCGTGTCTGCTCCTCTCCTCTTAGCGTGGCCGAGGAGGGGGCTTGGTGATTGCTGTGGCTACCCAGGCATCTCCAAGACCTAGTGCTTCGTGTCCCTTATTTCTAGAAACGGGAGCCGTAACCCTGCTCTTTGGTCCCTGCCGCGTAATTCTGTGCTGCTACATCAAAGTGTGCTTCTCTCCCCAAAACCCGCCCCGGGAGACGCACCGGCTTTCACCGTCCTCTCCGCTCAACCAGCCCCTCCACCTCCTGCTTCCCCGCGCTTGCTCCGTGCCCGCCTGTGCCGGGAGCAGCCCGTGCAGGTAGGTGACATGCTGGGGGGTTTGCCACTCACCGGCCCCCCTCCGGCTGGCGGGCGCGCCCAGAGCACGGGCCCTTTCCACAGGCCTCCGCGCTCTGCCCTTGCGCGACCCGGCGCAGCAGCTTCCAGGCTTGTTCTCCTCCCTGAACCGGAGGCTGCTGCAGCTTCCCCCGGCGATGCTTAATCCTGCTGCCTCCAGGTAATCCCTTTCCATCTCTCATGGATTCTTCGTGCATGGTCGGACGCGCTGGTTGAAGCACGGGCTCCGTACGGTTCCTCGGGAGGGCACTTGAGGTGACTTCTCCCCTGCTTGGTAAAGAAAAGCAGAGGCCAGAAGAACAGAGCCAGTGGTGACACGGAGGATTTGGCTTTCAGAAATCACGACTGAGCGTGACGCGGTGGTCTGAGATCGCGACGCTGCCGACAGGGCAAGTTCTGGTCGCCTCGGCTGAGTGCCTGGGAGAAAAGCCCTATTTCCTGGCTGCCTCTGGGAATCCCCGCGGGCTAACCGAAGCCCCTACGGAAGCGTTTATGGGTAGGAATCTTCAGAGGCAGCTAATTAAGAGCGTGAGTCTTGGTGAGACTTGGCCTTCGAGCGCAGGAGCTGCCTGCTTGGACTGTGCTGCTTGGGGAAGCTCCGCTGGAGTGTGAGCAGGTTTTGTGCTTGGGTGAGGGGCTCGTTCACAGTGTTAATAAAACCAGCCTCAGTATTAACAACAGCAGCTGGCTCAGCCCTGCGCTCTGCACTGATCCAGGAAAACACGGCACTTCCCTTCCGCTCCCAAACTGACCCGGGTGCCTATGGGAGCTCGAGAGCATTTGGAGCTAAAAAACTCCAAATTTCCAGGGCACAAAAGCTGCTGGGGCCGAGGGAAGGGTCCTGGACGTTGCTTTGGGACCTGCTGCTGGACATCCCCCTTAAAGAGATGGTCCTGAGGCTCAGCTGGAAGTGTTAACATGGCCGGTGTCCTCCTGCTTGGACCCAGTGGCAGCTGCCTGCCGAGCTGGTTTCCGGAGTACTTTTAAAGGCAAATTATTGTCTTTTTTCCTTCAGCTCCTCTTTGGGAAGGAGTTATTGGTATATTAGCAGAGCTGGCAAGTTGTTTTTCTTCTTCCTTTCGTCTCGCTTCAGGTTTTAGACTGATCTTCTGGCCCGTGCGCTGTCCACGCGAGTCAACCCTCCGTGCGGGAGAGGGATCTCGCGGGCAGCGTCTCGGCATAGGAAAGTCGGGTGAGAAGCAGCAGCTCGTGTGTTTCCAGATGCCTTTTTCACGTGGCTTAGTGGCTGCAACGAAACCAGTGCCAGGTCGCTCACCGGCTTGTCCAGAAGCGCCCGGGTGGACTATTACCGCGGAGCAGATCCGCTCGGAGCTGGCTGCCAGGCGGGAATTGCCGTGTGCGCGGATGCAGCTGCCCGGGGGAGGTGGCCGTCACCGTCAGGATGCGCCAGGCAGCTGCTGCCTAGGACAATAGTGGGAAACACATGGGAGATGTCCCGCTGGAACCCTCTTTTCCCCTCCATCTTTTGGCATTGCCAAGAGGTTTCTTCACTGGAGCTGCTTGATGAGCTTGAGGTGTGGAAATCCGGCGAGTAACAGCAGCTGAAAAGGCCCACGGTACTGTTGCAGGTCAGAGCATGTCTTTCCCGGGAGGAAGAGACGTTTAGGGAGCAAATGTGTGGCGTGGGGTGGAAGTCGTAGCCGAAGCCCTCGATAGTGCACGGGGTGAGGTTTGCAAATCACAGTCAGGGCTTGTTCGGGAGGGCTGCGCACCGGAGCCCCTCGGCTTTGTCTTCCAGGAGCCTTGCCCTTTGGAATAAGTGAAGTGAATGGGAAGTGGTGGCAGGTGAGGTGATTAGGAGACTTGAGCTGTCGCCTTGATATCAGCATTTATGGAACAGGAAACACAAACTATTTACTTAAATCACTCAAAGTTGTGATTTTTTTTGTGTTGTTTTTTTTTTACTGTGCTGAATCTGGTAAAGGTGATTCTCCCATGAGAGCACAGGCAGATGGGATGGGGTTGCCCTCCTTGAGTTGACTCTGAAGCACTTTCGGCCCTAAATTATTAAAGTTTTATATGATGGGATCTTGTGTTGCTGTGACATCACCTGCAAGATCACGTCTCAGAGCACTTTAAGGTGCCATGCAGTGGCAGTAGGACTAGTTGTCACATGGGATGGGGGAAGGCGGTGGCTCAGTGTGCCTCAGTGAGGCCCTACAGAGATGCCAAGTAGGGCACAGGCAGCCTCTCTTCAATCTTCATCACTAAATGCAGGGCAAAATGGGAAAAAAGCAGGGAATGGGGCCCGATATCCCATGTCAGGACTTCAAGGTGATCACACTTTCTGTGCACCCCCTGGTGCGTTGGATAACTCAAAAAAAAAAAACGTATTTAATCCACTGAAATGCAGTCTTGTGGGTAGGGTGAGAAATGTCCTGCCTTGTCTGCAGAGTGGGGGATTGTCCTGGGAAGCAACAGCCCTGGAAGAGGCCTGGAACCTCTTGGGACCTCTTCCCAAAGCCGTGCGTGCTTTGGGAAAGGACTGGAGTGCCTTGGAGGTGACGCAGAGAGCCCTGAGCGGCCGCTGGCAGGGGGTATTTCTGAATACAGACCCGAGAGCTGCTGCTCTAGGGCTAGGTTTTGTGTGCGTGTCTTGGAGCGGTGTTTGCGACGTCCCAAAACGATGTGTGAGGTGGCGAGATGGAAACGGGGGAACCACCATGGGGATGCTGTGGTTTTCCAGAGTCCTCGTCGCAGGCACCTTGCGCTTTCCAAGGTTTGCTTTAATCGGGGGGCTGAAACCTGAAGGACCTGCGTAGCTCATCTCGGGAACCCTGGCCTTGCATCCCACGTGGCCACATCAACGCCATCATCTGGGATCAAAGCGCTGAGTTTCCTATATCAGCAGCTCGCCTAGACGTGGATTTCACAGGCAAACGTGTTTTTCTTGTCCTTGTCATTTGGAATGAGATCGGCTGCATTAAGGACCCTCTGAGATGTTGATGCCTCTTGCCCAAAGCCCCAAATTGCTGCTTAATTTATGCAGCCTCGTTCTGAGCCCGAGTTTCTGGAGCTGAATTTCAATGGTGAGAGCAGAGAGCCGAGCGGAGTGATGTCTGTGGCCGCCCCGTCCGTGGGGAAGCCGCGAAACCGGCGCCATCCCCAGGCCAGCGAAGCCCGAGGCGCTTCCCAACGCGGGAATCTGCATCCCCGGCCTCGCTGGCCGCAGCAGGGGCGAGCGATGCTTGCTCGGCCGGGCGGCTCCGTGTGCCAGCGGGTGGCAATGCCTTTTAGGGAGGTCGGCGGCGGCGCAGGAATCCCTGCGCGGCGCCCGGAGCGGCGCCTTCCATTTGTGGGAAGGCTGCTGGAGCCGGGGGCTCGCGCGCACGGTGGCGCGGGGACAAACACGCCTGGCGCTTTGCCCGGCGCCCGCCTCGGGGCCTGTGTAAAGGCCAGCAGGTTGCAGCCACGTTGTAAATTCTCCCCTGGCCCTTTTTTGGTTTTTAAGGCAGCGTCGTAAATGGGCCCAGTCCGGTTGATGAGTCGTTTGAAAGGATGTAACAACTAAAGTGCACTCAGCTCTTCTACATCCTGCTCTCTTAGCTCCTGTTTTTCTGCTCCATGGAGGCCTTGGTAACACAGAGACCAGCCGATACATTCAGGCCTTGAAAAAGTTAATCCAGCAGAAGCGACGCTCCTCAGCGGGCCACCGAGCGGAGCCTGGCCCGTTCCGACACACGGCTTCCTTGCGGCTGCTCCACAGGGCTGGTCACCACCACCGCAGAGCTGGGCACGAGATTTCGGAGTTAATGAAATCATTGCAATGAAGCCCTCCTTTTTTTTAGAAGAACAGGAGGGCGCCGCACGGCCTTAAGGACAAGTTTCGGGGATGCCAGGTGGTTTCTACACAGCTAGAAAACTCACGTCGAGCTCGGACGGGGACCTTCCTCTGTGTCTGCTGGTGTGGAAGGGCCTGGGTATTTTTATAGTTAACCTGTGAAGCTTTTGTGTACAAACCAGAGGTCCTGGGAAGGGCTAGGAACAACCTATTTTTACTCCCTCGCAAATGGGCCTTGCTGTGTTTATTTTAGACTCTGGAGTCGCTTAGGCGAGTGTGTTTTTTTTAATAGTCTTCTACTGTTACTATCAGATTAAAAAAACACAAAAAACCTCTGGGAATCGCGGGGAACCAGGGTGCCCTCGGTGTGCTCGACTCCTCCGAGACTCTGAGCCTCGGAGAAGAGGCTGCAGGAAGGAGTCGGCGGGTCAATGCTCGGGCATTGCCCCTGCTCGTGCGGGTGGCAGCCTCAGCAGAGCCACAGAGGAGGTTTTGCTGGTGCTGCAGATGGGCCACGTGCACCTTGGCTGCAAAGCTGCCCCTTTAAAGCAGAAAGGTTTAGAGGAACTTTTGGGTGAAGAGAGAGGCGGACTTGGCCCTGAGGCGACGTTCTGCAGAGGGTCTTTCCTGCTCGTGCTCCAGAATGGCTCCGAGCGGCTGGGTTGCACTGTGAGTCCTTAGAGGCCCCTTTTGGCTGCAGAGAAGCTGCCGGGCTCGTTCCGCTGCTGGCGCCAGGGTGGGAAAGGGAGTGCAGACACGTCTCACAAACGGCCTGGGGCTCTCCCGTTTCACTAACCCCAACTGCCTTAAGAGCAGCCAGGCCGAACCTCGGTGTTTGAGGCCTAACGTTGATGCAAGAGGCTACTGATTAAGCCACGCGCTGCAAAGGAGCTCGGGAATCAATGAATAACTCGAGCGATGAAAACCCGTGGCGCTCGCTTGCACGTAGATCGTTTCCCACGCCGGGAGGTGGGAGCTTTGGCGCGGTGGCGCTGGTACTTGCTGCTCCTCAGGCCCTGGAGCTGCGAGCACCGGCCTTCCTCCCACGCCGGCCAGGGCGCAGGGCTGTCCCTCCTCACCCTCCCACCCTGCCGCTTGTTTCCCCGCTGCTGCCCTGCTCCTTTGATCTGCAAATTGCTCGGGTTCCTCCTCCGCCTCCCCGCAGAGGCCCTGGCCTTGGCTGCCCTCCATTCAGTTGATATCGGCCTCTGGTCTCGGCCGCAGCTACGTGCTGGGTGTTTTCTGCGCTCACGTAGCTCTGGATTTATTCATGGATATTAATAATTGTGCCCTACTATGTGTCTGTAGAAACCTGTTCTGAGGGTTTAGATGCATGAGGATGTATATCGCGAACTGGAGGAGAAGCCAGGCAA